TTCTTGGAAAAATATTGGTTTATATAAGGGAAATGAATTTTGAATGTTCAGCAATGTCTAGTCAAACGAAAAGTGGTCTGAAGTGCCGGTCTTCGTAAGCCCTTCTCTCCTCAACGATTGTGCTGTGTTGGGACTTTGAGCGTCTCTTGAAATCTCAGCATTGTTACCTTAATACCTCTCCACATTTGTGCGTACCTACATGATTCCAGCAACTACAGTTTGATGTCCCTTTCCTATGCAACTGCGCTCCCTGTTGGATCTTCCAACAGCAGGGTTTCTTCCACGTTTCAGACGATGTGGTCCGACCTGTCAAGCCTTGATGGTCCGGATTTTGTCCAGAGAGGCTTCGAACAGCTGTGCCAAAGTGATGACAGTGGCTTGTTGATTTTCTACGGTTCCACGTCTTTCCCAAAGAATGTCAGTCTCAGAATTTTTGCCTTTCATCAGGGCATAAGGTTCGCAGGTCTTCCTCACTGTCTCCAACGTATGGCGAGGTTTCTTCAGTGTTTTCTCCGACATCTGGGGTCACGTTGGATTTCTTTGAAAGGGCATCAATGTGTAGCAAACCCTCAGAGGTTTCTGTGGGTCATGGCTCCCGAACGGCAGTTGGACTGCAGGTGCCTTAGTGACTTGGCACAGTCGTCAAAACTGACAGCAAGAAAAATCGTCAGCCATCACCTTTGACAGTTTTTCTCCTTTTTCTTGCCAGCGATCTCCAGTTGTGACAAGGGACCCAAGGGATTCAAAACATCAGTGACCAGATGGTGAGAACAAAGGATTCATGCGCCACAAGTTGCGTGGCTTTCAGATCAGGAACTTGGTCAGGCCCAATGCTCGAAGTGCTCGAAGTGCTCCGATAGGCCCCAGCCAATCTTTAAGTCATTAACATGTTAACTGCAACCTGCACCAAGGGACCAAACCATTGACTGTGAGATCTGTGAGCCTTTGAGCGTTTGGAGATGTGTTTGGAGACCCAGGCTTTCCGAAACAGAATGTGCCATTTTGTCAGATTTCCCGCTCTTTGTTAGAGCCGAACACGTGACACTGAGATCGGTGAGAACACCTAGTGGGGATTGATGATTTGTTGCATGGCAAGCGGACATCCTGAACAATGTCGGTTGAAAATTGTTCCAGGCCTCACTTGGATCAAAGAAATTGCAAGCCACATACTGTCCATCTAGTCCATCTAGGCAGATGCAGAAAAGTTGTCACTCCATGATCTCCATGTCTATGGTTCCTGTCTTTCTCCGGCTCCGGCCATTGAATTCCAATCAGAAAGATCTACTTTGAACACTCTTTGAACTTTGATTGGTCAGCATTTTTTGGTTCGGATCTGCAGTGACGGGCCTTTGGCGCCTTTGGATCCAGTTCAGCATGTCGTGGAACTTGCACATCAAAGGGGTCATGTTTCACTACTGCACGTAAACCCGCAGGAAAGTGCAGGCGTGTAACGTTGTGTATGAGGAGGAAACAAGAATTCCGTAGGTTCAATTGCGGTGTTGATTACCAAAGAAAAAATATCATGCAATTATTGGTGGCAATGTCATGTGGTGGTGATAAGGAATTTCGCATAAACCGTTTGTACCACTGGCTCAAAACGGTAGTGCGTCGCATAATTGAGAGCGGTCCGTCCATCAGCTGCAGTGCCATTTACTTCAGCCCGCTGTTCTATAAGCCACCTGACCCCCGCTGCATAGCCAATGTGGGCTGCAAAGGTCAGCGGGGTGTGACCAGAGTCATCTCGCCAATGAATGTCCCCGTGGGCAGCAAACAGCATAGATGTCAACTGCGGGTCTGGGCACAGCAGAGCATCAGCCTTCCGGTCCTCCCCATATAGCAGCCCCATACAGGATGGCTATCCAGTGCTGAACGAACCCCAGCACTGAAAACCCACCAGATCCTCCCCAAATTATTACAGTGCGAAATGATTACATTCGTTCAAGCCACCAGGAATGGAGATAGGGGGGTCAGTTGTCACCAAGTCTTTCAACCTCGTGGGCCAGCTTTGCCAGAAGTGTGATGCAGCTGGAACCAGCCAGAAAAATTGTCGTGATGCCCAAATCCAGCTTGCAATTGTTGATGAACGTGTGAGGAGACACTGCTTTGTTGAACTCTTCCAATTCTGTTGAAGCTGTCTTGCATGTGCAAACATCCCAATCGCAGGACCTGTGAGACAGCGTGAGGTACCTGCCCATGGCCCCTGGTGTATCAATTTTCTCTGGGAGCAATGTCCTTGCTCCAGTACCGTGACGCGAACAATGACGCATTTGATTTGGAACCTCCGACGCTGACAGGCCCTTAGATACGTCATAATGGCCCAACTCTTATGGCCAAAACTTGATGATATTCGCTGATCTAGATCAGAAATTATTTCCACATCGAATGTGTCTGTTAAAGTGTTAAACTTTCCCAACCTCAAGGGTGGAGAAGCCATTGATGCTAGGATGCATTTGGTGTTGAAGACTCCTTAGCAAGAGTGATTCAGGAGAAACAGTGGTACCGCATGCTCAGTGCCAGATTCCCATGCCAAAAGAGGGTAGGCGAGGACAACATTGCAGTGCAGCCAAGCCATGTAAGACCTCATTTGGCACCGGCAAAAACCAAGAAGGCTTGAGAAACGACTGCTTGGTGCTTCCTTTTCTGCTAACTTGGAAAGGCTGTGGGTGTCTGATGGTATTTGCCAGAAACAGAGGTTATCAGAAGCGCAGAAATGTTTGAATTGTTCGTAGATCGCAACATCAGCATTCACCTTGGCTAAAACCTTCTGCGCCAGGAAGATTCTGAGCTCTATGTGTTCCTATCCACCTCCACCCAAATCTCCTCCTCAAAAGCAAATTTCTCAATGGATGTGGGCTGAGTGTTCATTGCACCGCTTTTGGCAGTTTTGCATTCAAGCAAAAAATATGAGCGTATTTTCCCCGAAAATTAGCGTAAATCACGAAAGGTAGCGTCAGCTACCTGAGTTCTCCGTGCTTCAGCACAAGCTTAGGGGGTATTGGGGGGCCAGCCCACGGAATTCATGGAATTCTCGCCGTTATGTATTGGATATCAATTATAAGGGGGGGGGCCCCCCCCCCCGAAAATGGTCATGGGTTCAATTCCCACGGGTGACGCGGTCACGGGCCCCCACATTAGAGGCACACTTTCCATGAGGGAGATGTCCCTGTAGTCCAGCATAATTGGTATGCTTCAGCCTCAATAACAGTTGCTGCAAGGGGTCTTAAAAAGGGGTTTTAAATAAACCCCTTTTCGTGCATCATTTCACGCTGCACAAGACACCGTATCATGCAGTCATGCTCTGGATAAAATCATCTTAGACTGCGCAAAAACGTTTTTGGTGTATCATCTTAGGGGCGCAGCATTTTGACACCACTCCTCTCCCACTACACTACCTTTCGTCCGCCTCCGCCTGCTCTCAAGTACCAATAGCCGGGAAAAACACGTAAATACCCGTCCGTCAAGCTCCAGATTCGCGTTTTCAAGTTCGAGTGAGCATAAAAAGTCAGAACGAGCGTAAATCCAAGCAAAAACTGCTATGAACAGAAAAACGTGTTAATTGAAGATCTATATACATGTATCACAGGTTGTTTTGATCTTATTTTGATCTTATAAACTTCCCAAATACGACGAAAGCTCCGGGAAGGCAGTTCGCGCGAAGGCCGGGAGTGTGGTCGCGAAAGCACCATGAAAGGATTTGTGAAAGCACCATGTGAGTATAATGAAATACACTAACCCTTTTGAACCGCTCATCTAAAGTCTCTCTTTTGGTGGCAAGCGGTAGCAATGGAGTCAGAAGTGCAGAGCCCAGCGCGTGCAATCGGATGTGCCCTTGCATGTGCTTCGAGAGGGTCTCTATGTAGGCAAAAGTTGGCCGCAAGTCTGTCCTACTGAACGCAGTCTCAGTGCCTGCTTGACGAATAGCCGGCGAGACATGTCAGCTATTTTGCCAAGCTGGGAGGACGCGTCCATTTTCCATGCAGTGCTTGCAAGTTTGCGCGAGAACCCAACAGTTGCAGGAAAGGTCACAATGGCGGGCTTATTTCTATGAATTCCTTGTCATACAAGTACTTTTGCAACAGATTCTGCAAGTCCTGTCGGTTCAAGGTTGCACTGCCTCCTTGTTTCTTATTTTCATGCTTTCAAGTTTTTAATCAAATACTTGATTCCCAGTCGATGGAGGTTTGCTTGTAGAGCTGATCAAGAACCTTGGAAAGTTCAGAATGTATGCGGAATGGGCTGTCCCTCGTCTTTCAGTGTTGACTGGAGACTTTTGATAAGATGCTTGATTCTCAGCCAAAGACCTTAGGAGCCCGTGATTCATTAGTTCGTCCACTCCGTCCTACAGCCTCTGATGCGCAACTGGTTTGCTGCAGCTGGAGCTACGCATGTTTGGTGTGAGTAAGACAGTTGCATTACGCACAAATGTTGCAGCCATCCTATGCTTCAACCCTCCCATGTGTGGCTGCGAACGAACTGGTGACAATCCTGCCTGTGTCGGGCGTGCAGCTCGACCGAAGGCATGTCTACTCAGTCAACGCTGTGCAGAGTGAGCAATGGCGCCACCAGTGCGTGGGATATCTACTGCCTAATTGCCCGCTGATTCCACTGCGAGGCGTTGATCGCAGGTTCCTGGTGATTCAAAGTAGTCGCCAAGAACCAGAGCCTGGGGCAGAGGCCGAGTGTTCTATTATCGTGTCGAGGGTGGAAAACATGAGCAGAAGATCATGAGATTGAATTACACTGCATGATATTGCATGGTATTGTTCTGGGTGAAGCAGAATAACACGGAGAGAGAGAAGGAGGGAGAGAAAGAGTGCTAGAGAGTGCTGTTTCCTGCAAGCCGGATGGATGAGTTCCTTTCGATGGTACGCGTTGACACAGTTTGACAAATAGCTTCATTTTTTCAGGTTTTTTTTGTGTTTGTAGGCTGAAGAGACTTAGTGGAGAATTCGAAAGCAATTTCCATGCGACAATGCCATTTCCAGTGGTGAAACCGTGTCATGCGGTTGTTGCTCAAGCTTAGCAAACAGGGAGGGGAGGCTGAGCCTAAGACGGGCCAGCGCCAATGCGCCCCTCCGAAACTCGACAGCCATTGAAGTGATGACTTCGTAGTAGTAGCAGTAGTAGCCGTAGAAGCAGTAGTACTACTAGTAGTACTAGTAGTAGTACTAGTAGTAGCAGTAGTACTAGTAGTAGTAGCAGCAGTAGTACTAGTAGCAGCAGTAGTAGCAGTAGTAGTAGTAGCAGTAGTAGTAGTAGCAGCAGCAGTAGTAGTAGCAGTAGTAGTAGCAGTAGTAGTAGCAGTTGTTGTTGTTGTTGTTGATGTTGTTGGCAATAAGCCTTGACCAATTTATATTGACAACATCAACCAGGCCCCCGAGATGGAAGTCACTAACATCAACCGTGGTTAACGTTTCAGAAGCCAACTTTTTGGTCAAAAATAAATTTGAACTGTTTGTCTGTCACCCCATTTTTGAATATCTTTGCATCTTCTAGAAAACACTCCTTTCTTGCTGTTCTCATGATTTCTGGGTCAACAACTTGGCTCCAATGGGAGTCTTCTCCTAAGTCATCAGCAAAAAAACGTCACCGAAAATGGTCACCGAAAATACGTATGGCCCTTCTTCTGCCCTGGCAAAGTTTTTTTCGTCTTTTTATTCCTACTATAGTTTAATTGTTAGCTTCTGCTTCTCATTTTCATAGGAACTTCAGTGTCTCCACTTCTCAATACTCGACAGAGCCTGACTGGCCTGCGCTTTGGTTCATCTCAATTCCCAGGATTTTAAGTCACATTTTCGGACGTTTCTCAAGAATTTTCGCTAGTTTTAGTTGGGTTTGTCTGAACATATGGTACCCCCAGATCCCAGAGCTCAAAGCATCATTTTCCCATCATTTCATGGCCTTAAAGTGGGGGTCTTCCATGATTTTTTCCACAATTTCTTCTATAATATTGTTGGTTATCTATTCCACAGCATGATATCATACTCCGCTATACTACTATACCCCAAATCTATCCAAATCTCATTTAATCCCCATGCTGAGACTTACCCATTCGCAGTCTGTAAAGAGGTTTCACGGGGGAAATCCCCATTCAACATCCCGTTTGAATAATCAAGAAATGGTTGGGCTTAAGTTTGTCATCCCGTTTGATGCCCCCTTGGTGAAATCCCATGACATCCTATGAAATCCTGGATCCGGCCCTGCGCCCTGCCCTGAAAAGGGAACACCTAAGGAGCTCTTTGCAGGTGCCCGGGCGGTGCCGGTGGCGTTGGGCTTGACGCCCAAGTTGCAGGCTCTGAGAGCCCAGAGCGATGGCGAAACGAAGGCGTCTGCCATGGTGATCCCTGTGGTAGTTACTATCTGATTGATTGGGGACTACTACATTACTACATGATACTAGAATTTTATCTGGTTCATGGATGTTCATGGTGGTTCCTCTTTTCGTAGCGAACCATCTCCAATTTTTGAAAGGGAAACAACTCCTCCCTTGTATCTGGGGTACTGGCAGCAGCCCTGAAAAAGGAGGAAAATTCCTTGTTCACCCAATTTATTTATCACATATAGGCTAGACTTTTTTGAAAAGATGGGGAAATTGAGGCCACTTACCTAATTTTTTATTTACCAGAAATGAATTATAACATTATAAAAAATCATCCCCGGTTTACCATTGACCTTTTCAGATCCGCGCAGGATGAATCCATCCCTTTGTGGCAGCCCTTGGCCGCTTGGATGTTTGAGGTCCATGGAGCTGTATCCGAACTGGGACAATTGGTTACAACATGTTACAACCAATAGTCATTAGAAATGATTTTTCAATGATACAGATGATGACAATAACTATTTGATACAAACATTATTTGAGGGTTTCAAAGTGTGGATCCCCACCAGTCACCATAACGGGCCAAGTCATGGTCCATGGGACGGGCTCCAAGGGCTACCCCCAGCCTCAACCGAGGCAAAGGTGCCAGACGCATCCAATGTGTGGCACCACCAGCAGGCCACGGATCTCACCTCCATGGGATCCGATGTGGCTATGCAATGCTATGCAGATACAATGAGGATACTGTGCATATATTGATCATGATTGATATACGGGATATACTTTTTTTCAGATGGATGTGATAAAACCAGCAATAAAAACGGGATATATATATATATATATATGTCTCACCAACTTGATATGATATTTGGGTCTGTCTGAAAATGGGTTTTTTTCGGCCCCGAAAACGGCCATTGTGATAGGTGAATTGGAAGAATGATATTTTTCCAGATCAAAATTGGGGTAGCCCATTTTCACACCAATTTTCATAATATGAAATCAGCGTAAGCGTTTGTGCTTTTGCACCAAAAACGTAAACAATTTTTATTTTGACAGCGGCTCACATGACCCACTGCATGGGAGTGACTAGATAGGACTGGTGTGGATGAATGAAATTCATCCGAAGAACCGGGGATGGCCCGCCCGGGAGTCCCACGAGCATATCCCCCTGTCATATGACAAGCACCCCTCCAGAAACCATACTGGATGTAGGCTATAAAAGATACATGTGACTGTGACCATAGAATGGGGGTATTGAAAATAAGGGGGGTTGGATTAAAACTCTGAAACCTTCATTTACAGCAGCGGTTTTGGTAGGTGCAAGATTTGGTCCTGAAGTTCTGGGATCTCTACAGGCTGGGAGTCCAGTGTGGGAGTCCAGTCATTGAACTTCGCGGGGAACATCACCATTTTATAGCCATGTAAATCATCTTTATCATCCATAGCTGGGCAATCTTCCATAGCTATGTCAAATAACTAGAGGGTACTGTAAACAGAGCTGGTTTCCGGCCATGGCTCGTGGGCTTGGATGATTTTGCCCTTGGACATGTCCAAAAAAAAGATGGTATCTCTAGAGGGAGATATGTCCAAAATTTCTAGGTATTGTTGGAGTACCATCCATTTTATTTTTGAACTAGTTGTTTTTTAAATGGATGGTATCTCTAGAGGGAGAGACCAAGACTTCTTAGCATCAAGGGCACTCCAGAATCAGCTGTGAGGACAAACATCAGGGGTTAGAGATTTGTTTTGGGCCACGCTATTTATGTTCAGCAAACTTTCTACACATGGCCACGGATCAATACCTACATTCATATACCAGCTTCAGGGGCATGAATGAACATCCATTCAAAAGCTGTTTGGATGTTCACCAGAATTTCAGGCCATAACCAAGTTTATAAGGAGCTAGCGTGGGGCTAGATGCAAGCTCACTTAAATTGTGTTCCTTCCCCCATCGCCGGTTCAGTTTTCTTCTGCAGGGACTGCCACCACCCCAATTGCACAAAAGCACCCAATATATGCACAGTCTCAGTGGGACTGGACCCAAGTGTTTGAGCGAGTGAAAGGTGGTCGCAATTGCTGCTAGGGAATCTGTATTTGTATGGGAATGGCATGGTGCCACAGAGTCTTGAAAGAACCATAGCTCGGCTGCACTGTATAAAGGGCTTCATGGTCATGGTTTTGCAACGAATAAACAAATACTGGAACACATGCGGTTGGCTCACAGGGGCAAGGGTCAAAGACGGATCACCGCTTCCAAATTGCCCGTCTTTCTGCTGAATTTCCTGGGAACCATGAATTCCTGACCTTACATTACCAAGCCAACTTGGAAAATGGGTATCGCTCACAACCATAGGGGTACGCTGCATATCACCAGCAAACATGGGGCCAACCAACACCTTCTTTCAAAACACTGCTTTAGTACTCGATCTTTTTGTAATGTAATGTAATGTAATGTAATGTATGTATGTAGGGACGTAGGTAGGTAGGTAGGCAGGCAGGCAGGCAGGCATGCATGCATGCATGCATGCATGTATGTACGTATTCAGGTTTCCCATCAGATTTTCATCACGGACTGCCAGGAAGGACGAGGACAACACGATCACCGAGGAGGACTTCGCCCAGCTGAGCCTCCGCTTTCTGCGGATCTTCCTCCCAGGGCTTACGCAGGAACGGGACCAACGGGAATGTTGGGGGCCACGGGACCTAAAGAAAACTCTCAAAGGCACGTCCTTGTTTTTTTTTCAGGTGGTTTAACATGGTTTTTGATGGTGTATGATAGCCTGTACATTGTCCGCTTCCCATCATCCAAGTCTGGGACGAAGGACCCACAAACTTGTGGTGCATATTTTCTTTGGGTTAAATCCTGAATGTGTTTCTTTTTTGGGTGCGGACGTTTTTTGGGTGCGGACGTATGTTTTTTTTTGAACACATACATCATTTTGAGAAAAGAACACCATAAGGGGAGAGAGTTTTTGTGATAGTTGGAGGTGGCGAGTTTTCATATAATATACATTCCCATGTTTCAGATATGGGTATGGATCAATACCTATTAATACCATTTTTAGGGGGATGAACATCCATTTACCAGCTATTTTGATGTTCACAAGGTTTTGACACACTGCCATATGTCTGAGGCACCTTCAATGTCCTTTCACAGGTTGACCTGTCCGAGAGCGATGTGTGATCATCCATCCAGTGACATGGTCTGCTACCGGCAGGTACATATCTTTTCACGCGTTTTCATGTATGTATAAAATGTAAATATGTATACACACATAAACATACATGGCATCTATCTATCTATCTATCTGTCTGTCTGTCTGTCTATCTATCTATCTATCTATGAACCTAAGGATCTAAGGATCTAAGGATCTAAGAATCATCTAAGAATCATCTATGAATCATCTATGAATCATCTATGAATCATCTATGAATCATCTATGAATCATCTATGAATCATCTATGAATCATCTATGAATCATCTATGAATCATCTATGAATCTATGAATCTATGAATCTGTCTATCCTATCCTATCCTATCCTATTCTATTCTATTCTATTCTATTCTATTCTATTCTATTCTATTCTATTCTATTCTATTCTATCTATTCTATCTATTCTATCTATTCTATGTATTCTATCTATTCTATCTATTCTATGTATTCTATGTATTCTATGTATTCTATCTATTCTATCTATTCTATCTATTCTATCTATTCTATCTATTCTATCTATTCTATCTATTCTATCTATTCTATCTATTCTATCTATCTTTTCTATTCTTTCTATTCTATCTTATCTATCTTATCTATCTTATCTATCTTATCTATCTTATCTATCTAATCTATCTAATCTATCTAATCTATCTAATCTATCTAATCTACCTATCTACCTATCCATCTATCGATCTATCTGTCTATCTATCGATCTATCCATCTATCGATCTATCGATCTATCGATCTATCTATCTATCTATCTATCGATTGATCTATCTATCTAACTATCTAACTATCTATCTATCTATCTATCTAACTATCTAACTATCTATCTATCTATCTATCTATCTATCTATCTATCTATCTATCTATCTATCTATCTATCTATCTATCTATCTATCTATCTATCTATCTATCTATCTATCTATCTATCTATCTATCTACATAGATAGATAGATAGATAGATAGATCGATAGTTTCATAGATACATCGATACATAGATACATCGATACATAGATACATAGACACAGTATTGTTCCAGACTAGACTAGAACGCATAAAGATACAGATGCAGATGTGATGTAGATTTTTCAAGATAGATATCCTTTATCCCTCAGCTCAGCGACGCTAGGAGGAAGAGAAACATCTCTGTCAGAACTGTTGGCAAGAGGCCATGGCAGCCATGGGACTTTGGGACCAAAACCTGGCTGAATTTCCCAACTATTTTTGGTGTCAACTGATGGAACGCCCTGTACCATTTGATTTTTTTAGTCTCCTGTTCAGCGAGCTTCAGCAGCGTACCGGAGCAGGAACCTGTTCCAAGTCACAGGGTCCGAGTCTGGATCTCCAGAGAATACCCTCAGCTTTTTGCAGAGTGAATAAGGAAAGACCACAAACAACTCTTCAAAACTGGGGATCCAGTAAAAATGTGAGAATACCCAGATCCAGAGTGTTTTTCGGTTTGACCCTTCTTTCATGGTCCCCGGGATCCAGTTGCCAATTTTTTCACCGGATCTCCGGGACCGGCCGGGACCGTTTGGGACCGGAGGCTGCTGCGGGTCGACGGCGCTTGAGTTTCCTCGGCTTCTTCCCATACTTGGCGCCCTGGTGAAACCTGGGGAAGCGGGGGGCGCTGTGAGCCTCCAGGCATAGCCTGATCCAAGGTGCGCTTGGTACAGTCGTGGACCGATTCCAGCGATCCAAATGAGACTTGGTGGCGAGATGCAGCAGCGATCCAAATGAGACTTGGTGGCGAGATGCAGCGAATTTGACTGGTCAAGGAATGCCTGGAATGTTTAAAGATCCGATTTCAAGTTCAGGTAGGAAGTAGGAGAGGATCCTAGATAGATTGATATGCACTTTACAGTGAACTTTCCGTAAAAACACCCGCTATACTATGTTCCTACAGACACCAGGAACATCCAGGAACAGACCCAACCGCAACGCTTGGAAAGGACACAACCGGGTTACGCTGCTCCACGGCAGCAATGCTGTGATCAGCTGAGGACTATGTGGAGTTTCTCCAAAATCTCTTGGACCGTTGCACCTGCTTCCAAGTTGCTGGGCAGGAGCACCCCGAAGCAGTGCCATACACCTCCTGAACGTGCACTTTGCCAGCGGAATTTGCACTTGTTGTGTGCCAAACTTTTCGATTTCAAGTGTCACAAAGAGTTTGCCCAAGATTCAGCCCTCCTTTTGTCAGAAACCGAAGTCTTCCTGACTCATATCTGAACTCACATTCTCACATGGAGTTTCTGATAGATGTCCTTTTCCCATTGGTTGGTTGATTAGAGGAGTTTGTTTGCCGCCACATAACTCACATAACTCATATTCTTCAGTTTCTGATGGCGCGGATCTTGTGATCCCGTCGTTTCCTTCACGGGTCCGGGTGAGGAGCAGCCCGTCTTCCCCAAGCGCCTCGTGACCTTTCGCGCGGCGCAACGGGGAGATGACCTTGGAGATGGACGACTTGGCCCTGTTGGGGTGTTGGGTTTAGGGCGTTTAGGGTTTTAGTTGTGTATGTTATGTATTAATGTATAGTATATCTAATAACTAACTATCTAACTATCTATCTATCTATCTGTCTGTCTGTCTGTCTGTCTATCTATATGTATACTTTATGTATACATATAAAATGCATCCATTCATGTCAGTAAGGCTTAGTGAGGCAATGTCACAAACCAGGCATATGGATTGATGCTTGGAATCCCAGCCATGTTTCAGCTAGTTTCAGCTGGTTGATGGCTTGGCATTCAAACATCAAGCCTAGAAATGGCAATGGAAAGTCCCAGATCCGTTTTCCTCAATTGCTGGGAAGTCTGCAGATGACCAGGGGATCATGACATCAAGTTACAGCACAATTATACAATCATCATTACTCAAGAAGAACTTCATAAGCAGGAACATCAGAATCATTGTCTCAAGTCAAGCCCCAACGCCTCACACGAAAAAACAGCATTTCCAAATACAATTTCCATCGCCTTTTTGGATAATTTGCCTGCTATCACCAATTGCCATTGAGTAGTATTCCATAGCCATAGATGTCAGCAGAAAATCATGATCAGCCTGAAATCTGTTTTTTTTTCAGCCCAAATTTTCTGGTTCACTCAGGATTCAACGACTTCATGGAATCTGTGGAGCTTGTTTGCAGCGGTAGCTTAGAGGAAGTCCAGGCACGGCCGAGAAAACGAGTCGTTTCTCGAGAAATGCTGGCGCCAAACAAAGGTCGGAATAGAATAGACATTACTTGTTTTATAATGGTGATTACTGGTGAGTAATAGTAGACTTAGTAGTTTTTTGGGATTGTGAATGGGATGGTTAACGGAATTATCTTAAATCATTAATTGATGTGGGGGTTTCTTAAGTCATGGGTCTCCAAGTCGTAATGGTTGTTTCACGTCAAGACTCACGTCATGTTGAAATTTCGTTCGACTTGGCTTGATGACTGGGGTAGCCTAGTACCCTACTCGGGAAAGCACCAACGCTGGATTTTCGGATCCCCAAAAGATGCCCAAGACTTTTTTGGAAGGATCGATGAGGGCCTCTCCAGAACTAACTTCCAGGTTTCCAGAACTATAAAATACTATAAATATAGTAATATATACCAATTATAGATATAGTAACATATATCAACTATAGATATAGTCATATATACCAACTATATACTTACTGTTTCCTTCATATAACTCCACTTAGGCTATTTGTAAAGCAACTTACCGTAAGTGACCTATCCGATATGGGCCCCATCTATTTCCCCAATCCATTTCTGGGAGACTCACCACAGGCATTGAGGACATCTTTTTCCAGATCTATCCATGGGTCAATAAATTGAATAGCCACAAAATCGGGTAAAACAATAAGTTCCCAATTTTGGGAGCCACAAATGTGGCTAGCCTGAAATATGTGCTTAGAAATTGGTCAACGCCTCGGTAATGAAACTGGCTTTCCGGCTGGTCGACTGCGGGATACTCAAGATTTGGAAGAGAACAGGGCAATGATGATAAAGCATTGGACATGTCTTTTTTAACAATATCCATATGGGGATGGGTCAAAACCCTGGTACCTAGTGAACCCCAAAATAGCTGGTAAATGGATGTTCATCCCACTAAAAATGGTATTAATAGGTATTGATCCATACCCATATCCATATTTTTTTAAAAAATATATCATGATATTTATCTAATACTCCGCCTGATCCAAAATCTTGCGTTGAGTTGTCGGGGACTTCCCGGGAAAGTCGCCCCAACATGCGTCTACTTGCTGTGGAGCAGTTGCGTAAGATAGAAAACGATGCTTTAGTATGATGTTTTTTTTTCAATATGATAAAGCAATGATGTAGTACAGGATGGGCCCCCCCAGTTATAAGTGGGTTTATAAACCATTATAACCCCTATTAACTAGTTCGTTATATCTACCATAAAGCCATTATAAAGCAATGATGTTTTTTTTCCAATACCCATATTTTTGGACCACATCTTCTCTAGGGATGGATCCTTCAAATGACGAGTTTACTGGCCAGTAAAAACTGGCCCCCAAAAAACTGCAGAACAGGTGGAGTTGCAGTTTGAGGCGTGGCATCAACGTTGCATTGGGTGCCAGGAAGTGGAAGACCTGGACGACCCAAAGAAAATGGCAGACGATGGACATTTTCGGACATTTCCGCTGGACCATTTGGAACTATGGTCATTTTTTTTCCATCAATTCTTCGATGTGTGTCCAAGAAGAGCCGGGTAGCCGGGTTTTGCCCCAAATTTTGCCAAACTTTGTCATGATTTTTCCTCTTTGAATGGCCATAAATTGGAAGCCCATCCAGATTTCCTGCAAGAGCCAGGTGCAGCATGGAATCAACTTTCACTCCTGTTTCTTTGAGGAGCTGAAGAAGAACTGACGTGTAAAACAAAAACATTCCATGATGTATGCCCCATTTTCAAGGTCGCATATATATATATATATATATAATTATATATATATAATTATATATATATATATATGGATGCAAGAAGTCAATTGGTGGCTTTCGGGGCTCAAGCCTTCGTATGTCACCTCAGGCTGTCCTTGGTCTAGTTCTTGAGGGGATTAAGACTAATTGGTGGGGGTTGGCTTGCCCGCATCATTGCACCCAACCCTCGGTTGGACTCTTGGGGTTCTGTTTTCTCCTAGGGTGGATCTCTGGACTTGCCTCCACCCTCGTTTTGGTCTGGTGGCTGTCTGGGTTTTGGTGTGGTCCTGGCTCTGACATTGTGCGTGGCTCCTCGGTCCGTCTGGCCTCTCGTGCCCGTGTCCTTGCGTCCTACTTGCATGAGCCAACCCTCCTCCAACCACGACGTCGGGATTGAACTCCATATATCCCTACCTGAGGGTATCCAGGTCACTGTGCGGGCCCCTACCTCTTCTGCTGGTGTTGCTGCTGACCTGTTGGGCTACATCTCTCTCTTCCAGGCCTCTGCACCGTCGGTTCGGTCGGATCGCTCCTTCGAGGTTGTGTCTTCTGTGGCTGAGTCTGTGCGGAATTCCCCTCCTAGGGAGCGTCCTGTGGAATCAAGGGACTCTATCCTGCGATCCTTTGCTGGCTGCCCATCTCGCTTGTTTGTGCACAGCCCTCGTTTGTGTGGGTCAACACTGTCGGGTAAGGACCGGGTTGCTCGTGCTTGGCTGGCTGGTCAGTGGGCTGGTGCCGTCCGAAGTGGCCGCATCGGCAGTCCCAACAGGACACCTGCCATCGACCTTAGGTCGCGCTTCTACGCAGTTCTCAGGGCTCCTGGACTTGCAGGCCCGACCATCTTCAGGTCTTCAGCCAGCTACTGGCGCTGTGTTGGAAATTTGGAAGAGAGCTCAGCAATCTCCCAGTCTTTCCCTAGCGAGGTTGAGGCCCGGATCTACTTGGAGGCAGCAGGGGAGACCGACATCGAGGTCCTTCCTTGATCCTAGTCATGGAGTTTGTGGAATCCCTGACCTTGGACTCTTTGGTCACGCTCCAGTCGGATGTAGAACCCTATGTTTTGGATTGGCCCGCCGCAGAGCCTGGTTCTGTAGCCGAAGCCCTAGTGCTGGTGACCCATATAAGGCCAGGTGGATTTTTGGCCGCGGTCCCAGTTGGATTTATCCCAGAAGAAGTTCTCGCCGTTGGCAACTCTTCCCAGCCCCCCGGTCCTGTTGGTCCTTCGACCGTCATCGTTGTTCCTGGTTCCATGCTCGACAACGGTACCCTTGTTCCGGTCGGTTCCCCAGTGTCCGTGGTGGTTGTGGATTTTTCCCAAGATGTTCTTCCTCAGTTGCATCCTCTGCCAGTTGCTTCCGACCTTCACTTCACCTTCGACCCAGATCAGCCATGCTGTGCCAACTCCGCTGGATTTGTTAAGTCGGATTCAGGAATGGTTGGAGGCGGGAGGAGACAGTGGACTGGGCTATGCAACAGCTGGAGGGGAGGACATAGATGGAGTACCCCTAGAGGAGGAGGATTTTGCAGACGCAACACCCGGATCCCCCCTTTCGGCAGTGCCAAAGCTTCCAACAAAAAGCCGCAAGGCAAAACCCACAGTGCCTGGGCCAGGGCGGCCTACCAGTGCAGAAAAACGCCCTACGGTGGCGAGCCTCGCATCATCTCTTCAGGAGCTGATCCAGGTAAACTCAGGCCTCACTCAGCAGATACAAAGCCTCTCCCTGCGGCAGCAGCAGCTCGAGAGACGAGCTACCCCGCCTCCTCAGACACTTGCCACTCCTCAAACTCTCTTGAGCCAGCCTTTGTCATCTGCCCTGGTCTCCCAATCCCATCAGCCCTCCGCAGTTGCGAAAGCCATCGGAACCCCCCCCAGGACTTCCGCTGGCCTGACTCCGGGTCTTTTGAGGTCTCCTTTGATCCAGCCCCCAGAGCTAACGGAGTTGGAGGAGGAAAAGCTGGAGCATCCCCCGTCTACCTCGCGAGATCCCCTGGCCCACGCAGTACTTGCCCAATCCAAGGCGCTCACAGCTCTTGTCAGTCAGATATCCAGTCAGAGCTCCGACCCTCTCTTGGACTTGGGGGAGGGAGTTTTGGGGCAAGCACCCGGGGGGCTCAGGGGAGGGCAAAGCTACAGGCGGAGCTTGCAGCCCAGAGAGGAAGCTTCTTCTCTTCGGTGCTCACTGCCATGGCCAGGCGCATGCAGCCAACCAGCTCAGCAGAAGGGACCCCGGAGGAGCTCATGGCCAAGGGGGTATCGGGCAGCAGGTACTTGGAGAGGTTCGGAGGCTTTGGCAAGCACAGGGAGCTAGGTTGCCTCCAACACCAGGTGATGACAATCATGGACTTTTTGCAGGTGGGAAACTTGCAAGCAGCAAGGGACCCCACGGCCTTGCTGGCGGTCACCATAGACCAGGCGGCATTAGACAACGGCAGATTCGACTTAGCCAATGTCTTATGTCTCCAAGAGGAGCCACCCAGCACGGTTTTCAGCCACAAGCCTGCAAACGTCCTCTCAAGGACTCGGGCCTTCACTCCATTGGCCAGTCAGCAATGGATTACGGTGGCTCTGGCATATATAAAAGAATTGGATGTCATCACGACCAAGAGGTTGGAGTTGTCTTCACAAACAAAGCAAAACACGTTCGCAGCCAGCTCAGCACCCCCCGACAATCCCCGGCCAAAGCCCAATCCAAAGAGAAAAGGGAAGGCGGGAGGAAAATGGGGCAGCAGTGCTCCGGCCCAACAACAGGAGCCAGAGGACTGAAGTGGCATATGAAGGTTCCCTATGAACCTGAAGGTGGGGGCGGGCCGGTGTCAAACCCCCTCACTTCTCAGGTCACGTTTCTCCAGTGGATGACCTGCCTTCCACGTTGGATTTTGCAGACCCGCACAAAGCTTGCGTCTTGTCTTGCTCGTTCTTTTGCCATCCTGCGCCGATCTTCCGGGACGGCTTCCGCACTCTTTCCCCTGCCCCTGCCATCTCTTGATTGCTTCCGTGGTAGTGGCCCTGGTTTGTCTTGTCGCCGCCTCAAGTCCGTGTGCCGTGATCGTCTGCTTAACATTTGGACTTTGGTACTGGACTTTTTGTTCCTTGGTAGGTGGCCCAGCAATGATGAGCTCAGGAGACGTCCTTCCAATGCCCAGGAAAAGGTTTTTCATCGCCTTAGGACGTTTTTGAGTGCGTGTGGTGACACCCAGGAAAGTTTTGACCTTTGCCCCGGTAGATCCAGCCCAGAATTAGGTAGTGCATTGTTTCACTTGGAGGCATTTTGCCAAACTTGCCAGGACCTTAGTTCCGGTTACATGGAGGCTGACACTTTGCCTTTCAAGCAACCAGGTCCACTTTTGTCGGTTGAGAAGCACCCTGAACTGCAGCCGTATAGGTCCCTTGATGCATCGAGGCTCAAAATTGTCGGAGAGGGAAATTGGAATATGGAAGCATACCTTGATGGACCGCTGTGGCTCCCATTTCAAGAGCCCTCTTTCCTTTTGCATGGCCTCCCTGTCTCTAGATGTTCCCAATTTTGAAGTTGAATCTTCCGATGAGTGTATGAAGCTTGCGACGCTGTGGGATGTGAGGGGGCTGCTGTGTCTCATGCCTGATCCCATTGCCCCTGGCCTTTTCAGTAGGGTTTTCAATGCCTTCAAGGATCGTGATCGAGACAGACAAATAGGTGATAGACGTTTGCCTAACCTGTCAGAACACCATGTCGATGGGCCTTCGAAGCAACTGCCTCAAGGACCACAGCTGACCTCAGTAAGAGTCCCACGATTCACTCATTTGCTGAGAGGTTCTGTAACTGATAGGAGGGATTTTTATCATCAAGCCGCTGTCACGTTGGAAAGAGCCCAGAGCAACATGCTGCCTTTTGCTTACCCCACCGAAGCTTTTGTTGGCACTCAGGCCTATGCTGGCTTACTCGAGAGGTCAAACCTAAAGCCTCCCCGCGCTCGAGAGATTGCAGGAGACCAGCTTGATTGTCGCAGTGCACCCAAACAGCCAAAAAGGCATTCCTTGGTTCCAGAGAGAGTGCACCCATGCTTTTCCTCGTTGTTTCAGGGGGACCATCTAGGAGTTGAGTTTGCACTTCGAAGTCACAGCCTGTTGCTGGAAAATCATGGACTCCTGCGCTCAGAGCATCGAATCCTTGGGGGCTGCCCGGTCCCTATTGGTAGGTGTTGGGATGCATTGGTGATTGATGACTATTTTGCATTTGGGATTGAGCCCGTGAGTTCGCCTCCAGAGAAGTCCTTTGCCATGCATTCCTTAGCTGTTGCCAGAGGGGTCTACCAGAAAGAAGGCCTGATGGGATCTGATGAAAAGGACGTAGTTGCTCAACCAGTCTTTAAAGCAGCCGGAGCTGAAGTTAGGTCTTCCGAGAAAAATGCTCGCTCCGGGGTGATCCCTGTCGGTGCACCTTTCTCCAAGAGAATTGCCTTGTCGGTCTTGTCCCTCAGGTCTGCGGTCTTGCCAGGTACCTCAGCCCGTCTGGTGTCCCGTCTGGCTGGAAATTGGGTGTCCGTTTTGCAGTATCGGAAGTGTTTTTCTAGCCTCATCGATGGACTTTTTAAAGCTGTCGAGCAAAAGCCTTGAAGAACCTATGCGGTGCGTCCACAAGCTGCCTAGGAGCATAGCCCAAGAAATCACCATGCTAGCAGCGATGGCCCCTTTGATTTTCAGCAATGTGTCGGTCGATTTCCTTGACCATGCCTATGCCACAGATGCATCTGTCCAGAAAGGTGCAATCGTTTCCACTTCAATGCCCGAGGAGGTTCATGAGGTACTCTGGCAATCAGCTGACAAGCGGGGGGCCTACACTCACCTTGACAATGGCTTCCGAGGCCTCTTGAGACAGATTGGTGATGTTGACGATGACCAGGACCTTCCTGGACCATTGCCACTGGTTGAGCCTTTGTCGAAACAGCCACTGCTTTATTTTGACTTTGTTGAGATTTGTGGTGGTGCGGGAAAGGTTTCGAAAGCTGTCAGTAGTTTTGGTAGGTCAGTTGCCCCGGTTTTGGACTTATCAAACAGCCGGCATTACAATCTGTCCTGCCTGCGCCTGACCGAGTAGATCATTTACATGATAGAGGAAAATCGTTTCAGGTCCTTTTTGATAGCACCACCATGTACAAGTTTTTCACCTGCAGCACACCCCGCAGTGAGAAGTTACCGACAGCCTCTTGGCTTTGACCGTCAAAACCCAAAGACTTGGCTAGGGAATCAGCTTGCATTCCGAACCCTGCTCCTTTTGCGTGTTGGCAGGCGATGCTTCAGACCTTGTGCAGCTGAGCAGAGCCGACTTAGCAAGATGTGCTGGTTAGATCTTTGGAAGGCCTTGTTGTCGCTTGGTTTTGACGAAGCGGTGATAGCTTCATGTGTTTTTGGCTCCATCCACAGAAAGGAATTCAGATTTTTGGTTTTCTTACTGGATGCAGTTTTCCTGACTCGGCGCTGCCCGGGTGGACATGCACATGTGAAGGTTGAAGGGTCCTACACAAAAGCCTCTGCCATTTACGTCGATGGACTTGCATGGCACGTTGGGGAAGCCTTTCACAGAGCCCTTAAAGCCATTGAAGCAAAGGAGTTGTTAGTACCTGACGTTCAGGGACAGGAAACGGTTTTGGCCAACGACGTCATGGCTTCAAGTCGATGGCACACTGTCAGAGCGTGGTTTTGGAAGCGTTGCTCACATATCAATGTTCTTGAACTTGCCGCTGCCGTCTCTGTCCTAGGGTCTGTTGCTCAGTCCAGATCGTCCGTCAGGTTTGCCAGCTTCTTGGACTCGTCTGTCTGCCGAGGTGCCTTGGCCAAAGGAAGATCCGCTTCCTATGCTCTGCAGCCCGGTCTCAAACGAGCTTGTGCCTGGTGTGTGGCTTTTGACTTATACCCTGCCTGGCCGTTCTCTCCCACCAGACTGAACGTCGCAGACGATCCTTCCAGAGGTACGGAGCCCAGACAGCCTGTTGCATTGTCACTTGTCAGACAGGATGGACTTATGCTCAGTGCCTCTGTTGCCTCTGGACTCCGCCGTTTTACTGCCAACTGGTGTCGACTGTGCCTTTTGGTCTTGCTTACTCAACCGGCCCCAGCTCTTGGCTCCTCTGTGTATCACTTTGGATTTCAGTCAGAATGGCCTGCCATGCTCCTCTCGGTTTGTGCGTGGGTGGTGGTGACTGTCTTCTGCTCCTTGCTGTTGAGCTGTGGACTCTCTTTTGTCGTGCCCCTAAGGGTTGGGTGTAAATTTAATAGGCCTTATGGACTTTTAAAGACTCATCCCCTCAGGAAACCGGTTCGGGTAGCCATGGTCGTCGCGCTGCTGCTTAGTTCTGCCTCAGCAATGCCGCTTATGCCAGGAACTGAAACAGAAAGACAGCGAGTCATCCGACGCGATGGTGCTTCGCTTGTGGCGACCAGGGCTATCAAACAACAGACGCGCGACAGGAGAAAGGTCTATTTAGACTGGTTTCGACAGTGGCTGTGGAGCGAGAAAAAGGTATCTTTCCGGTACCTTATTGATCAGAAGCCGCCAGACCCTGAAAAGCTATCGGAGCTGCTTGTCGAATACGGGAAAGCTCTTTTCCATGCTGGCAAAGCGTATGGTGTCTACGCTGAGACGATCAATTCTGTCGCGGTTGAAAGGCCATTGGTCCGCAGACAACTTACGTCTGCCTGGGACCTGGCTTTCGCTTGGTTGGCAGACGAACCTCATGCTCACCATCCAGCTATGCCTCTGTCTTTGATGGCAGCAATGGTGGTGGTAGCTCTTTACTGGGGATGGCCTTTTGAAGCTTCAGTAATTTTGATGAGCTGGACAGGCGTGATGAGGATTGGAGAAGTCTTGTCGGCGTGCCGAAAAGACGTGGTATTCCCTAGTGACGCTGCTCCTGGCACCTCCTTCATGCTCATTATCATCAGAACACCGAAGACTCGGGGCAGATCAGCCCATCACCAGGCAGCCAGGATCGATCAGGTCGATGTGATCAGGTTTCTGGAATCCATGTACAAGGATGCACCGGAGAATTCAGCCATATGGCCCTATTCAGCGGCAACTCTGCGGAAACGTTTTCGACACCTCTTGGAAGCACTGGAACTGCCAAGTACAAAGGGGTTTTCTGGACGCCCCTTTGGCCTGGGATCAATGCGGCCTGGTGGAGCTACGTGGATGCTACATCAGACAGAGAGCCCAGAATACGTCAGACGCAGAGGCAGATGGCTGAGTTCAAGGGTCATGGAAATCTACCTCCAGGAAGTCTTGGTGACCACCTTCCTGGAGAAACTTCGACCAAGGACAAGATTTTTGATAGAACTTTGTGCAGGGGAGTTTGCCATTGTCATTGACCGCGTGATCACATTCCTTGACACTGGCATCCCCCCCAAAGCTTGGTTTTCCCTTCTCAAAAGCTCTGGAGATATTCCTACGGAGAACGTCAGAAAAGCTGGGATCAATGGCAGCAATTTTAGCCATCCAGGTGACCAACACATGGACTGGCATGATGAAACTCCCGTGCAGGACAGCGAAAAAGGCAGCTGCGACATTCTTGGATGCAAGAAGTCAATTGGTGGCTTTCGGGGCTCAAGCCTCCCTCCACCCCCGGCCCAGTCAGAACTTTTGAGAAGGCAGCAGTTTTAGCCATCCAGGTGACCAACACATGGACTGGCATGATGAAACTCCCGTGCAGGACAGCGAAAAAGGCAGCTGCGACATTCTTGATTAATATATATTACATCCCATTAAATCCATACAACATATGTTTCTAGGTTAAATCCCATGATATCCATCAGTAAATTGTGGATTTTCCAACGTGGATCAGTGTTTGATCACGTCGGGTCTCAATTTTTTGGAGAGAGATGGCCGAAGACAAGGTATGAACTTTTAAAGCCCGAGAGTGTTTGGAGAACAGTTTTGTTTCAGTATCTCTACGTATATATATATATATATATGTATATAAATATTATATATATATATAGATATGTATACAAATGGGGTCTGGTTTCAACAACATATTTTCTGGAGTGTCTAGCAAAAACTTAAATGAGGATTTAAACAACAAGAATTGGGAATAGACCAAGAAACAATGGGGCAATGGATGCGCACAAACTGGTGGATTCTCATTGCCAGTTCACAAGGTGCCAGAAGGTGACTATAAGAGGATGGATGGCCACTGGCTTGCTTAGTAACAGCGATGTCATGTGCACTCAGCTTTTCTATGGCTCGAGATGTTGCACAGTGGACAACTCCTGCGGATATGATATATGGGTATGGATCAATACCTATTAATACCATCTTTAGGGGGATGAACATCCATTTACCAGCTATTTTCATGTTCACCAGGGGTACAAGGTTTTGACACACTGCCATATTATTGGATTTTTAGTTTCTGGATTTTTCAAATGCTTCGAGTAGTTGTGTCCCTGCCCAGTGGTTCTGGTAAAACTCTCTTACTTCCTGAACTCTCCAAAGTGGGAGACTTGAAGATTCTGGCCCAAAGGTCTTTTGGACAGGGCTTCCTGAAACTCGTGACTGCGGAAGGACATGCACTGACAGATCCTGAGGACTTATTGAAAGCTGCAGGAGTGCAAGACGGAGAGCACTTAACTGCTGTGGCACAACGAGCAAGAGTAACAGCTACAAGAGAAGCTTTTGCAGTTTGGTGCTGTGGAGGGAACTGGGTAGTTACCTGGGGCAATATTAAGTCTGGTGGACACTGCTCCTTAGTCAAAGATCAACTCAGGAACGTGCGGCAAATTCAGGCCACACATGAGGCATTTGCCGCAATCTTGGCTGATGGGTCAGTAGTTACCTGGGGCACTCCAGACCTTGGTGGTGACTGCTCCGCAGTTCAAGATCAGCTCAGGAACGTGCAACAAATTCAGGCCGCATGTGGTGCATTTGCTGCCATCTTAGCTGATGGATCAGTCGTTGTCTGGGGCCATCCAACGTGTGGTGGTGACTGCTCGGCAGTTCAAGATCAGCTCAGGAATGTGGAGCAGATTCAGGCCACAAGCGATGCATTTGCTGCAATCTTGGCTGATGGGTCAGTAGTTACCTGGGGCAATCCAGACAACGGTGGTGACTGCTCCGCGGTTCAAGATCAGCTCAGGAATGTGCAGCAGATTGAGACCACAGGTTTTGCATTTGCGGCAATCTTGGCCGCTGGATCGGTGGTTGCCTGTGGCGATCCAGACTGTGGGGGTGACTGCTCTACAGTTCGAGATCAGCTGATTAATGTGCAGCAAATTCAGGCTGCATATTTTGGCGCATTTGCGGCGATCTTGCTCGATGGATCAGTGATTGTCTGGGGTGATCCAGACTGTGGTGGCGACTGCTCTGCAGTTCGAGATCAGCTGATCAATGTGCAGCAGATTCAGGCTACAGATTGGGCATTTGCTGCAATCTTGGCAGATGGAGGAGTGGTTACCTGGGGCCATCGAGACTTTGGTGGTGACTGCTCGGAAGTTCAAGATAAGCTCAGGAATGTGGAGCAGATTCAGGCCACAAGCGATGCATTTGCTGCAATCTTGGCTGATGGGTCAGTAGTTACCTGGGGCAATCCAGGCAACGGTGGTGACTGCTCCGCGGTTCAAGATCAGCTCAGGAATGTGCAGCAAATTCAGGCCACTGATTTTGCATTTGCGGCAATCTTGGCCGCTGGATCAGTGGTTGCCTGGGGCGATCCAAAATCTGGTGGTGACTGCTCTACTGTTCAAGATGAGCTCCAGTACTTGTAGCTTATATATATATATGATATGATATATTTTAAACATATTTATATGTATTTTCCATAGTTTGCAACCAGCCAGCTAGGCAGGAGCATTTCACTGTCGGAAAAGAGGGTTCCAGATCAGCTGATGAATGTGCAGCAAATTCAGGCTGCAGATGAGGCATTTGCTGCTGGTGAATGCTCTACGTTCAAGATGAGCTCCAGTATTTGTAGAGATATTATACATATAGTATAATGCATTATATATATATTATATTTAATGCATTATATATATTATACATATTATACATATAGTATTATATACTTACACGCATATGTTTATGGCATATTTCGTCATATTTCGTCCTTTACCATTTGTTTTGTATGTCTTTGGGAAATGCCGTCTGGATTCCGGGACTCCCAGCGGTATGGCCCGGGGGGCACCAAATCATTGGGTTCTTGATCGTCGTCTCAATCATCGAATCATCGCCAGCAATGGTAGAAACTTCAGGGTTTACATCAATGGATTGTTTTCTTGGGAAAATCTTCACCGGAAACCATGGATTTTCCCATGAAAAGCTGGGACTTTCCGGTGTAATTTTTCACCTTAAGCCAATCCATGGATTAGAATTTGCAAACACATGCTCAAAAATTGTTGGTCAATTTCATGCCCCCAAGAACCAAAAAGACTGTTACATCTGGGTCAATTCGAGCGACAAAAAAGTTATGAACTTTTCAGGTCCGCCCTCGAATCAAACCTGGATTGGGACCTTCACCGTCCCCATGATGACATATAATTAATCTTGATTATCATTACAGTAATTGAATTGTCCCCAATGAAAAAATCATATATATATATATATGTAATCCTTGCACATATATTATTATGTATTATTATTATTATTATATATATATGATATATATATGATATATATATATATATATGATATATATATATAGATAGATACTCATTTTTTGGATTGAAGCTATCCCTCTGCAATCCAATTTTGTTTATTTTCCCAGTATTATTGGCACAGGTTATCCCTCAACGGTGATTTCTCACCCAACTCCCATGAGTTTCTCAGCCTATGAAGCCCTATTGAACGGATATAGGTTCTTTCACTAGGTCTTGGCTCAAGATGAAATAGCGGCTTCCATACTTTCTGTTCACCTATGAAATCACCAGACTTTTCTTGCTGAAATGCACTTAATGACATCCCCATTGAAGCCCTATGAAATCACCATTTCTACACGGTGGTGCCCCCGGTCGAGCTCGCATTCAGTTGGTGCAAACAACTCCAATTTCACTATGGTTTATGGTACTTATACAACTATAGTATTCATGGGGTTTATAAATCAATTTATAAGTGGTTTAACTATGGTTAATGGTACTTATAACTATAGTTCATGGGGATTATGATGGTTTATAAACCAACGTTCACATCAGTGAGGGGGCCCACATTCTATCCCCGTTTTTCCTGGGAATCCCATGGGTTCCTCAGCCCTGAGGTGCTGATGGCGCCATGGCTGGCCATGTGGCTGGCGCTGGCGTCGGCTGAAGGTGGCGACAAACATGGGGATTTCGTGGTGATTTCATGCGGATTTCCTGGGATTCATCAATGGATGTCATGGTGATTTGATGGGTTGGACCGCCCCCAAAAAATTATTGAGATTTCACTGGTGACATGGGATGAATAGCTACCCAAAGGTTGAGGTTGTTCATGGGATTCAGCTAAGAAAACATTGGGATTTCACGGGATTTTACCAGCAAAAATTGGGATTTCATGGGGTTTAACCAACGAAAGTGGCATTTCACCAGAAGGAACACGGATTTTTCATGGATTCGAATAGAGCATTTTCAGGTGATTCGGACTCTTTTTTTTTTCTGATTTGATCAACCTTTTGTTATGGGGGATTTCAGCAACGAAAATTGATGGTGAGATGATAGGGATCTTTCATGGGAATTCATAGGGATTTCAAGCATCGACGCCTGGGATTTTTCGTCGAAAAAGACAGCCACAACAGGAATGGGCTTTGAATGCTCTAAATACCTGGTTTGTCTCATATTTTTCTCCATGTTTGTTGAATGGTTCTCAGATTCTGGCTTCGCCTTGAAAAGATGACTCCAAGCCCTTCTGATCCTTAAGTGCATTGCTCGCCAGTCCGCTTGCGAGCGGGTTCTACGCAACATCGCCTACAGAATGAGGCCTGGGACTACGGTGGAAGAGGAGTGAGAAGAAACGCGAACACTTTCTCAAGAGTCCACATCACAGGTGATTCCTTGAATTCAGATATGATTTTTGCATCGCACATCTGCAAATTTTTCTTCATGTTTTTGGGTTGACCATGCCGAGCACTTTCTATTCAACATGTGCAGATGTGTAACCATTCAGGAGCCATCATTTGTGTGAAAACTTGAGACCCTCAGGACAAAAGACTCATGTGAAATCGGACTAAAAACCCATCTCGCATCCCAGTCCAAGTTGGATTTTTTTTCTGTCATCTCCTGATATCGCATGATATAGACATACATATAGATCACATACTGTACATGTATACATGCATACATATATATATATATACATACATATATATATACATACATATGTATATGTATATATATATACATACATATGTATATGTATATTTATATATACATATATATATAGATATGTATACACATCATAGATACACAGGATATATTAATCACAACGATCGGATCATTTTGCACAGTCATTTTATGCCTGCACCACCGCGGCTTTTTTATTTGGTGATGGTCAATGAACCCCCCAATGAGTTGGTCAACTCCTAACTGACCGGTTTTTCGTTTTTTTTTAGGTACGTTGACCGTCACGACTTTTTTTGGCGAGTTGGTCCCATGTTTACTTATCTTATGTATTTTAACTACTCAACTACTCAACTACGAACC